CTGCTCCGTGCTCTGTGCCCGCTGCTCCGGGCCTCTGTGCCCGCTGCTCCGTGCCCTGTGCCCACTACTCCGTGCCCTGTACCCGCTGCTCCGTGCCCTGTACCCACTGCTCCGTGCTCTGTGCCCGCTGCTCCAGGCCTCTGTGCCCGCTGCCTGCTCCCTGTGCTGCTGACACTGTCCTCTGCCAGGGCTTCTACATGCATCAGCTTATGTTCGATCACTCTTACATGCCTAGATCTGGTGATCTGATCGATTACTTTGAAGATGACATGAAATATAGTAATCATTGTTAACTCCTTATCATGTTTTGAAATTCTGTTCCTTTTTGTATTCTCTTTAAAATAAGAAAAAATATTAATATTTGAAGTATCGGGTTGGCATGGCGTGGAATATTCAAAGTTCATTTAGTAACTTACTTCTGAGAAACTGTTCTCAGAAAGTCATCTTCCAAATACCATTATCTTTATAGAATTGTAGTGGTTTTAGGCCTGTTTTTTGGGGGGGTGGGGTGGGGTGGGGTAGAAGGTGGTTGGGGTTTTTTTGTACCAGGAATTGAACTCAGGACCTTGAGCTTGCCAGGCACGTACTTGAGCTACTGAGCTGTATTCCCTGTCCTGTTTCAGTTTTAATCTTTAAAAGCTGAAGTAACAGTACCAATTGATAGTACATATAGAAATTAGAACTAAAGTAGGAAATGACTTATAAATATCTTATAATGGATTGTTTTGTTCCTCATTAAGTAACCTGATTTGAAAATAATGTTCACATGGCGTATGTAAATTCATCCTTTCTATTTTTTTTCTTTAGGAAAAGAAAGAAAAGCAGGAAAAAATTGAACGGAAACAAAAGAAGCAGCATTCGTTTCTTGACAGTGCAGCCCTTCCTCCGTGGAGCCCGTCCAGCAGAAGTGTGTTTTCCAGAGTATTCTGACCATCTCGAGAACGGTGCTTATGAGTCCCGGTTGTAGCCATCAGGTTAAAGCCATTCATCCAGTCCTCTGTAGTTGCAAATCTGTTTTAACTAAATACTAGGCACTTACGCTGACAATGGAAAAGCTGTTTGGAGGTTTAGTGGGTGAAAGCGTTTTTCATCTGAGCTGCCTCAGAGGAAAAGCTCTTCATCAGATGGCCCCATTGAGAGGAATGCAGGCCTGTGGTGCCCTGGGGGCATTCAGAGAGAGGACCCAGGACCACGTTCCCTAAACTCTGTGTGTTAGTTAAAGATGTTTAACCCCAGTTAGAAGAGGAGTCTCCTCTAGGTACGGTAAGCAAAGAAATAAATAGTTGAGCTGGTGGGTGGTGGTGCACCTGCATCCAGGGTTAAAGTGAGTGGGCCCTGGGCAGGACAGCCTGCACACACACCTCTGCAGCTGTGCAGATCAGAGGGTCGCGTCTGTACTGTGCAGGTCAAACTCGTGGACGGGGGAGCCGTAGTTGGTAGAATTGAGATCTCCAAGGCGTTTGCAGTATTCTGCCTTGTGTTGACATAGGAGTGCACTTCATCAGTTCAGGCGGAGATGACAGTCGTAGTCACTTTATAATTACCTCACCTCTGAAATGTTTCTGGCTAAATTGATCTCGCTTTGCTTACTGCCACAGTGAGAGCAGAAGACGTGGCTTTTCCTGCTAGCAGGCCCTGCACACTGGTTACATGGTCGCATAGGCACGCGGGGCGTTCTTGGCGTCGTTTCCACACTAAGCCCTAGGGTGGTGAAGGCACTGTGCCTCTTAACTGACCCGGATGTTCAGAGCTTACATTCAGAAGTTAGCTGCATAGGAAAGTGAACTTATGGAACATACCTGCAGAATCTTTGCTTGTTCACTTGCCCTCTCCATGTCCTTGCGTTGCCAGACTCGTACCTGACCTGGTCATCCACTTTAAGGCAGATGTTGGTCTGCTCTCAGACTTCAAGTGCTGCTGAAGTCACTGGCACAACGTGGAGACAGTGGATGGCAAGAAACAGTGACTCCGTGCCGACCACTTAGACCATCTCTGATGAGTCTTTATACATCATGTCTGTTCAGGGTAGGTGTTCTTGGCCACATTTTGCAGGAGAAGCCCCAAGTCTCAGAAGGACCAGATACCTTGCTATACAAGCCATGCGTGATTGGCTGTGAACCAGATCTCGTGACAGCATGCGTGTGCCTCTTCCTAGAACCTCTATGCCTGCTGCCTGCTCCCTGGGCTGCTGAGACTCCTCCCCTGTCAGGACCTCTACATTCATCAATTTGGCAAACTCCACTTCAACTCTTAAAGTCCAAAATCCTGTACCGCTGTCCAGAGATACCTGTCTTGGAAGACACAGCTGCTGTCATTAGGGGCAGAGGACCTTACTAAATCCGTGAGCTGAAATTTTCAGAGTTCCTAAGATGTAAAATTAGACATCTTGCATCCAGTACTGTGACAACAGAGAACTCAGCAGGTGAGGGAGGGTAGGCTTTCACACAGGAGGGTAGGCTTTCACACAGGAGGGTAGGCTTTCACACAGGAGGGTAGGCTTTCTTTCACACAGCCTTTCGCTGCCGTGTGTTGCAAGATAAGATGTCCTGGGTTGCTCTGTAAGATCATACCAAGGAAAAAAGGCAGTTCATAGATAAGCCGGAAGCCTTTTTGTGCTGCCAGAAGTAGGAGACTACCTCACGCAGTTGCCATGCTTAGTAGCAGTAGACCTCAGCATGAGACACACAAGCTGTGTCACAGAGCACCAAACACAGAGCCTGCCAAGAGACTATGAAGTGTTCTCATATGCAGTTACTCAGATCTAAAGACATTTGCAAGTTCCAGACAAGAAAGGAAAAACATGAAAAGATGCAGTACTTTTGAGAAACAGACCAAAAGTCTGTCTGTGTCATCAATTTCTTTAGGTGCCTAAACTTCCTGATTTTCCTCTTCATTGCATCGAATAGCTTACTATTATTACTTAGTAAATCGTGAGGATTGGATAGGGTTAAGGTGAGAGGTACTTTGACGCAGCATAATGACTTAATAGTTATCGTTGTCACATACCACATGGAGCCCTGCGTTTCCCCACCTGTGACTGGATGATGGACACAGGTGAGGTGGTGGCTGACGATTCGGCATCTGTACCTTTGGACTGCGGTCTGGGCTGCGCCCCTGGAAAGGGAATAAATCACTGCCTTGTAGGGACCCCCTCCAAAGAAGACCCAGGGCTGACTCCTGAGTGTTGCCTCTGAGGGAGGAGGAAGCAGAGCTGACGGGATGCAGAGACAGACCGTGAGGTGCCCAGGGGTGAGCGGGGACTGCGGTCTGTCGTAATAGTGTGCCACTTGCTGTGCACAGCAGCTTGCGCTCAGCTGGGCCCGCACAGTCGCCTTGCTAAGGCGGGGCTGGAGGTGGGTGCAGCCCCGCCCTGTGCTGCTGTCTGCCTCCCGCGGTGCAGCCTGAGCTCCAGAGGGGAGAGTCAGGCCTGGGAGTGTCCTCATGAATGTATTCATCTGTATGAGCTCCGGCTTGGCTGTTTCTCCTTGATGGTATAAACTGTCAGTGTAGATAATCTGCTCAAGTGTTTATTAACTTACAAAATGAGGTAATGTTTCATTCAAATTAAAAATAGTACAATTCTGTTATCATCTAGGTATGCAAATTACTTTGAGCATTTGAATGCTGAGAGTTCACAGAAGACAGGAATTTTATATATATTTTTAAAGTTATTGAAAATTTCCTTTGAAGCATATTTGTGGGTAAATTTAAACATTAATGTGAAATGTACTTACAGACCTCTTCCTTATCCGTGTGCCCACTTAGTACCGGACATAAAACCTGCCAGGCTAGGTGGTTCAGTGTCTTCTGTTGAATTAGGTGTCCAAAGCTAAGAAGATAATTTATCTACACGTAAAAACTTCTTACATGAAATTAAAGTTATAACCAAGAAAATGGTAATGTTGCATAAGTAAAAAGAGCCCATATAGCACTGTAAGGCAGAAAGAAGTTGAGGGTTTTTTTTAAAGAAAATAACTTCATGAAATAACAATATTCTAGAGGTTTAGTGTTCACATCACACTTTGAAAATGTTAAATTTTGGTTGCCATCAGAGCAGTAAGTGACAGTACTTCAGTTCCCGGACTTCAATACTCCCTAGTGTGTCTGATTACATCTGAATGGGACTGTAATGATTTAGCAAATCTGGCCCAAACGCTATTTCTAAATTTAGCAAACCGATTTTCAACTACTTAGACTGTTCACACGTTAAGTGTCAAAATTCAGGATTCCCAGTAGTCTCAATATTCTCAATATTCCAGTTTGATTAAACTGATACTTTCTGTAATACCCTGGTGAGCTTCCACACTGGCTTTTGTTCACTGTGGTTATTGTTAGTTTCATGGGTCCTTGTGGCCTCTCCTTGCTTTCTGCCCATTGTGCCTTCCATTACTGCCCGCCAGCTCACAGCTGTGTGGATATTGACGCTGCTGTGTAAAGTGTAGAAAATAGGGAAGTCCTGAAGTCCTGAGTCATGGACTGAGGAAAGGACATTCGCAAAATGGAACGAAGTTCGCGTTGGCCAAAATCATTCCCCAGAATAAGCTAATACAGAGAACTCAGATTTCCCTAATTTAATCATGGTTCAGATTTTAATAATGCTATATTAAAAGGTATTTAAACCCATATCCTTCCATTCTACACAAAACAAATATATGACCAGTTTTCCAAATTGCACTGGTTCGTAGAATAATAAAATGTTGCATAAATGCTAAACTGAAGGATTCCCTGATTTTTTTTTTTTTTTTTTTTACTTTAAAATGTTTTGTGATCATGTTATTTTCAGGTACATATGCTACATGTACTTATATTATGTTAATTTAGGTAGAAAGGATTCTTGGTGTTGCATTTATGATGTTTTAGAAAGTAATGAGGAGGTATATGTATTAATGTCTGCTTTTAGGTAATATGTTTTCATGTAGTAATTTATTAAAGTTGGCTATTCAAGATTTTCCTGAGTGATGTTGGTGGATTGTGTGCCAAAATTTCATTTCAGTGTTCAGAAATATGTGGGTTTTCTTTATGCACTAAAGATAAAAATCATATGTTGTTACACCTTTTAAAATGAAAAGGTAGAAAATGAATTTTTTATCTGAAATTTGGGGATAAACCTGATGTTTTTACACACAAATTATAAATAACTTGAAAATGCAAATAAACAGAAGCCATTCACGTTCCCATTTCCCAAAGCTAATTATAGTTCACCTAGTTGATTCTTTACTATTTCTGTGTTTCCTTCCTAATGTGTTTTTCTTTGTAACTAAAAGTAAAGCGTGAAGGGAGAATTCCATTTCCCCTTTTGTCTCTCCTTTTTTCTTTCTTGTGTTATGTGGCCATACCTGTTAGTTACTTCCTAGTTGCTGAGACAAAATACCCAACACCCACAGTTAAAGGAGGGAAGGTTTATTTGGCTCACAGTTCATAGAGGTTTCAGTCCATAGCCATCTCGTTCCAAGGCTGGGTGGCAGGGCCGAGGAGCGGCACGGGAAGCAGCCCATGGCCACGCGGGCAGGAAGCGACCTCCCTTTCTCTGCCTTCCTTTAGGCTACAAGCCTGTTGGCTAATGCTGTGCACGCCCAGGGTTGTTCTGAGCCACACGCTTAGGTGTATATTCTCACACCTACATCCAGCCACCTCCAAAAAGCACTTCTGTGAGTGCGTGAGGCTGGGGGGACACCTCTAAATAGAAAATGAAGCTACGCTGCGTAGTTGGTAACGGGGTTTTTCCACTCAACAATATACAAACATACTAGCTTTTTTTTTTTTTTTTTTAGAAAGAAAAGTTCTAAGTCATTGAGTTGCCCAGGGTGGTCTAGGACTTGCAGTCCTGCCTCACCCTCAAAAGTGCTGATCCTACAGATGTGCACCATCTGTCACAGCTGGCCATAGATGTCGTGCTGAAGCTATTTAACCTGTTACTGGATTATTGCTTCCTACAAGTATTTATTGTAGTAGATAATAATGTAATAGTGTTATTATCCTTCTGTCCACTATCTTTCTTAATAGAAATGGTGAGCTCCATTAATCTATAAAATTAAATTTAAGGATATAATATAAAAAATGCACTGAAACCTCTTCTACTTTATCAGGAAGCTCATCGGGCCGTGTACCCAAGGTTTAACATAATCACTCAGACTGGGAGCCCGGGCGCCCTCGCCACAGCGCCTGCGCCAGAGCAGCCTGGGAGAGCACCTGCCCGCATGTGGGAAGCCCTGGGTTCCACCCTCAGCTCTGCAGAGAGGAAAAGGAAATGCCATGGCTCATTTTAAGGTCATAGAAATGCTGAAGTTTACAAAATTAAAGGTCTTTTTGTACTTTCAGAATTGCAAGACAGGATGGAACCGTTTATGAAAACGGAATCTCACTTTTTGTAGCATGAAGAGTTTTGGAGACTGGTGGCACAGATTTGTAAATGAATTACCTAATATCACTCATCAGTATACTTTTTAATAAGTCAGGTGGTAAATTTTATGTAGACTTTCTCACAGTTTTAAAAATATACCCCAAATAGTATAATAATAATTCTCACTAGTGCAAACCCAGGAGTCGCACAGAACACTTGCCCTTGATTACGGAGAGGGGACCTTTGCTTTACTCCGGCCCAGCCTGACCCCACTAGTCAGGAGGAGCGCGTCGTCTGCTGCTGGGCTGGCCGCCAAATTGAAAGCTAAGTACAAGAGAAACAACTCCACCAAGCCTGCTAATAACCCTTCTGCGCACATGCTTTTCTTAGATACTCTTGCCCACTTAATTTTTGAAATTAGCTGTAGAGTTCTTATGCTCTAAAGCCAAGTCGTATTATGACTCAGGAGAATTGCGGTAACTAAGCGCAGTTCTAACATCTTTGGGTTTGAAATAATTTGATGAAACCAGTCCTTGGCCAGAGGTTCACTCCCGTTCAGTTAGATGCGTCGGAGCCCACTGCTAGTCACAGAT